ATAGTTACATCTTCCTTCCTTTAACTCCTCTTTTCACTTGAAGAGAATGTGTGTTCAATTGTAGTGTACAAATGTTCAATTAGGTAAAGCTAATTGATAGTGTTATTCAACTCTTCTATAAATCTTCACATCACTCTGACCTCCTCTTCTGTAGTTAAATTTTCCTGACTCCTTTTTCTGCCTCCCTCTTCCACTCTCATGATTACATTGGGTCTAACTGGATAATCCAAGATAACTTCTCTTCTCTAGATCAGCAACCCTAGTTCCATTTTCAACCTTAATTCTAGGAATACAATTTGTACCCTTACTTATCACAGTCTTTTTTAGAGTAAATATTATATTACTTCACACAAAAGAACCTTGCAACAGTATTATTCCATCTACTGCCTCCTACCTTCATCATCCTTTGTGGTATTATTACATATATTTTTACATCTCTATACATTTAAAATCCCATGATATAATGTTATATTTTTGCAATAGAGTCAGTTGTTTTTTATTTTATTTACTTATATATATATATATATATTTTTTTTGCCGAGGAAGATTTGCCATGAGCTAATACCTGTGCCAATCTTCTTCTGTTTTTTAGTATGTGGGTCACCACGAGCACAGCATGGCTGCTAACAGTGTAGGCCCATGCCTGGAAACCAAACTTGGTCTGTTGAAGTGGAGTGTGCTGAACTTAAGCACTAGGCCACCGGGGCTGGCCCAGAGTCAGTTGTTTTTTTAAATAAATTAAAAGAAAAAATCGTCTTTTATATTTATCTACAATTTTACCATTCCCAATGTGTTTTATTATTTTTTGAGATCCAAGTTTCCTTCTGATGTTACTGCCTTTCTGTCAGAAGAACTTCCTTTAGTATTTCTTATAGCACAGGTCTATTGGCTTTCATTTATCAAAAACATCTTTATTTTACTTTCATTTTTAAAGGATATTTTTGCTAGATATAGAATTCTGGCTTGACTTTTTTCTCTTTAGTTCTTTATAGATGTTGTTCTATTATCTTCTGTTCTCCATTGCTTCTGCAGACAAATTAGTCATCATTTGGATAAACAGCTGACCATCTTGCCCTTGTGGCAGCTGCAGTTGACACTTTATTAGGGTGAGTCTGTTTTGGTTATACATTAGACTTAGGGCAGATCCTTAGTCTTGGAACATAGATTCTATCCCTGAGGTATAACCCTTTTAGTTTCACCAGAAAGCATAAGGTGTTTATCAAGTTCCCCTAAATTTGCGGGATTCAAATTCTAATCTCTGTCTTTCATGTGATAGACAGCAGCTGAAATCTCTGTTCAACTTTTTCAGGCTTCCAGCTGTTGTTTTCTACCAGGCTCCTTGGAGTCTCCCTTGAATATGCACATTTCAGGGCTCAGGCAAAGATTTCAGGAAAGTTTATATGTATATTTTATGTTTTTCCCCACAGCTTCTTTTTTCCAAGATTTCTAACTTCTCACTCCTTCTGACACTTCGAACCAATATGACCACATATTTTGTTTGAGTTCTAGCTACCCCATACTGCATGGATTCTTAAGTAACCACAGATCTCACCAGTACCATTCACTTTTTTCAAGTATTAAATAACTTCCTCTGGTTTTTGCTGCCTTTTGGTCACTCTCCAGTGTGTGTGTGTGTGTATGTGTATTTTTTTTGGTCCAGATTTAGCATTGATATCTGATATAAGCTATTCCACCATTCCTGTAATTGGAACTTCACCTCACTAACTCTTGCTGGATTTTCTGCATAGGTTGGTGGGCAGCATCAATCATTAAGTCATGTATCTTGGTCCTCAAAACCCAAAAGCATGAACTTCCAAATCAAAATAGTCTAACTATACAGATCTGTTTATTTATCACCTAAGATTCAGAGTTCTGGTTGTTCAAGCTCCATGCTAAACATCTCAGTATTGAATTGATAGGTAAATATTGACAAATTTTATGTTAGCTCTTTTTTTTTCTGAGAATGACTTAATTTCTTTTATTTTTTAAGAAATTTTCACCTCAGCATTTCCTAGGGTTAGAGAAACATGGTATTTGGCTTTAATTTTCACTGAGTCCTCCTGGCCAGGATTTCCTGGAATTGTTCCATGATTATTTCAATTCTTGACTGAAAACTATGGCTGGAAGGGATAAATGGTAAATTCTAGGTGCTACTTGTTGTCCCCAAATGAGTGCTGATCCTGGAGCCAAAAGAAACACAACCCCTTGCCTGCTTTGGGGGTTATTTTTAGAGTAGTTGCAAACACATGGTATTTATCTTGAGAGATGGCCAATATTTTAAAAATAGCTAATAAAGAAAATGTAGTTATAAAAAATGTATTTCTCCATTATAAAAAAAAAAATACTGTGCTTACTTCATTCCATTTGTGCTATGGAGAGTGCTTGATAGGGAAGAAAAACTTTCTCTGATTCCTCCCTGTCAGCCATGACAATTGAGCAAGCCTTACATTCTTACCAATAAGTTTTGCACACTGAGCTCATTATTTCTCCCTACAAACATTATAAATTCTTCAAGCTTCAGCCTTTATGCTACATTATCCAGATAGCCTTTGGTAAGGACATTGAAAAGGATTTGAATTCCCCCACTAGAAAGTAATATTTTCAGTAAAGGACCATTGTCTTGTCATCAAAGCAGTAATTGTTAAGAGAATAGCCCTTGGAGGGACACAGACCCAACTTCAAGTCCAAAATCTGCCACTTCCTATGTAATCTTTGGATTTTCTACAACTTCCTTTAAGTTGTAGAAAACCAGAGATAGAAATACTCCTGACCCGGGGCTGGCCTGGTGGCACAGCGGTTAAGTTTGCACGTTTGGCCTCTCAGCGGCCTGGGGTTCACTGGTTTGGATCCCAGGTGCAGACATGGCACCACTTGGCAAAAGCCATGCTGTGGTAGGCATCCCACGTATAAAGCAGAGGAAGATGGGCACGGATGTTAGCTCAGGGCCAGCCTTCCTCAGCAAAAAGAGGAGGATTGGCAGTAGTTAGCTCAAGACTAATCTTCCCCCCCCGAAAAAATACTCCTGACCTCATTTGGTTGTTGTGAGGATCAGACATGGTAAGGTATACAAAGGTTTGCAACAGTTTCTGCCACAGTGATATTATTATTGTTGCTGTTGTTATTTCCCCCCATAGTAAATGCCCAATAAACAGCTGCCTAAATAGATACGTGTTGAATTGAATAAGTGCTATTCTTGTGAGAGAGAAAAACACATGAATTACAGAAACAAGTTATGAGGAAAAAATAATTGTAGCTATGATAAGTACTATAAAAAAAGAGCTAAGAAAGAGAATTAAATGGAGGACCTGTTTTAGATAGGATCATCAGGGAAGGCCTCTTGAGGGAGGTGACATGTAAGCTGAGTCTTAAAAGATGAGAAGGAGCCAGCCACACAAAAATTGGGGAGAACGGCATTCCAGGCAGCGGGAATAACACGTACAAAGATCCTGAGGCAGACATGCACATGGCCCTTCTAAGAACCAAAAGTTCACCAGTGTGTTGGGAGAGAATGACACCAGAGTGGCACCAGATGCAGTCAGAAGTTAGCAGAGGTGCTGGCCCCGTGGCCAAGTGGTTAAGTTCGTGCGCTCCGCTTCGGCGGCCCAGGGTTTCGCTGGTTCAGATCCTGGGCGCGGACATGGCACCACTCCTTAGGCCATGCTGAAGCGGCATTCCACATGCCACAACTAGAAGGACCCACAGCTAAAAATATACAACTATGTACGAGGGGGCTTTGGGGAGAAAAAGGAAAAATAAAAATCTTTAAAAAAAAAAAAAAGAAGTTAGCAGAGACCAAGTACAAAGGGCCTTATAGGCCTGAGGAGACAGTTTGGCTTTTGTCTAAGTACAAAGGGAAGGCACTGAGGGGTTTTAAGTAAGAGAGGACAAGATCTTCAGACCTCCTCAATCCGTCATTCACAAAAACAAATTGAAGGTGGATAAGGAATTTCTTTGGAAACATTTGGAACTTGCTGTTCAGAGAAACTAAGAGTATAAACATAGAATAAACTATTTTCCATTATGATTGAAATTATTGATTGCCAACGACCAACAAATCTCTTTCGGGATGTTTAATAAAGATTTCATCCACTTCTCTTTCTTGAACAACTGTCATGAATCCCAAGAGATACTGTGATCCACTTAAAATGGAGGATAGACAAGAGGAGTAAATACACTTGGCAGGCAGGGTTAGAGTAGCTGAGAAAGATGGCCAGAGTTGACAGCTACGAGAAAGGGGGTACATGTCTGAGCTGTAATGACCACATTAGATGAGAGATGATTTGGAAGATGCTGTGGGATAGATTTCTTACAAAAAGAAAGGACAGGATTCCAATATAAAACTGGTGAGACATTGTGAGATACCGGACATTCCAGTACAATGCCATAAGGAGACAGACAAAATTTAAATTTATATGTCAGATAATTATCTTTATAAGTCAAGCTACCCTTAGGGTAACAGGTCTCTGCCATTGTAAGCTTCTTCCTGGAATGATGGAGTTTATGCTCTCTTGAAACTGCTTCATTCCCTTTGGGTTTTTTTTACTTGCTTCACATTAGTGACTCTCTTGGCATTAATTCAGACCACTGCCATTAATTTAATGAAGTGTTTCTATTTTCACATGATACATTGAGCAATTAAAACTATTTGTTCTCTTAAGAAAATTTATTCCCAAGGAAAAGCTTATAGGGAAATGATAGTGTGTTCAGACTTCCCATTACCTGTTCACTGATGACAGATTAATTTAAAAGTGTACATAATAGCTGAAATTTCCAAAATGTGTCACTGTTGTTGTTGTTTTGAAACAACAAAACAAAATTATATTACTATGAGACTGTATGCATCATATGTCATAAAAACAGCTTTGGAGTTAGTTTTAACTTTTTTTCTTGGAGGATGAAGAATAGCTTATTAAATGTCAGCCAAAAACTTCATGACAACTAATTATCTTTCATTTCATACCAGCTGATAATAAGTAAAAGCAAAAAGGGTGGATACCTACTGTTGCCAGGTAACTGCATCCACTGTGCTTCCTGCCACCTTCATGAATCTGTAAAGAACAGAAAGAGCACAGATATTGTAACTTAGAGTAAACCATCTCCTCAGGGTTAAAATAAAATAAGCTGAGTCATAGATCAGCCCAATCCCTGGGCAGCTATGCTTTCTGAGAGGGTCCACAGCCGTATTCATGGCCTATCCATAGCTATTGGAAGTTAAACTGTTCAGAAGGTGAAGGTTATCGTATTTTCAGCTCTCCACACATCCTTCACCATCTGGAAATCAAGACCACAATATGACATTCTACCTATATCTGTCTTCACATTGCTTTCCCTATGATCAAAACATATCTGTTCCATTTTCTATTCTCTAAGGACTCTGAGATCCACTAGGAAACAAATAAACAATAATATTTCCCAAGGATGACAACACAATAAATGCCTTTGAAAAACCTCAGGCCTCTCCTTCTGAAGAGACCATGGGAAAAGAAAAAACGATTTATTGGTACAAATATAAAGCACTATCAAATATTCCCGAATGACGGGCTGCCACACTTATCTGAGTGTAGAAACCCAAGCACCATATAGAGAAAGCTAACCATTTCTGCAGCAGCTAAGTAGAGAAGTGTCATCTGACAAGCATGCTCAGCCCAAGAGGGAAACCAGACCGAAAAGCACATAGCAAAGTCTTACTAGCAATTCCCCATCTTCCTGTGCTCCTGGAGATTACAGGAGAACCAAAGGGCCAGGAGGAAGCGTCCAAGGCCTCACAATGCCACAGAGTAGCATAAATTGCAAGTCTGTGAACAACTCAATTTACCTACTTGCCTCCTCCTTCCCCTCCACATGTTCTGAGGCCATGTACTCAGTGCTGTCATGGTTAATGTTACTATTTGAGAGAGTTACCACCCAGACAAGGAAATCAAATGGAACTTCCTCAGTCTTTAAGATAGTCCTTCCAACCCTGAGACTCTGGAGGGGATTTTTTCTTCAGACAGAAACAATCTTCAATCAGTACTTCATAACAAAGGACTCTTCCACTCTTCGGTGTTTTGTCAGGAAGGCCTATCCCTGCCCTACCCCAGCATAATCTTCCCAGGCAGACACATGGGCAAAGGGGTTGCTGTGCACTGCCCAAACAGAGGCTCTGCTCTACCACAATGGTGAAAGCAGATGAGTCTCTGCAGGACTGGGCGAGAGATAGAGAATACCAGGACTGTTGCTTAGCATCAGCGTGAAGTTTATAAAAGCAGATGAAAAGGAAGGAGAGTAGGGAGACAGGGAGGAAGAGAGGGGAAGAGAAAAGGGGGAGAAGGAGAAGAAGGAGGAGAAGGAGGAAGAAGACAGGGGAAGCGGGGAGAGAAGGAGGAGGTCAGGAGAAGATGAGGAGGAAAAGGAAAAGGAGAGGAGGAGGAGGAGGTAGAAGATAGCAGAAGGAGCACATGAGGAGGAGGAGGCAGCTTGGCCCTTGTCTATATGGTTTTGCTTTTTTCTCCAGTATCATTCAGCAGTCCAGGAGCAAGAAGATGGGAAATGGAGCATGAGCGTGATCAAGGAATGGAATTGGTTTGATGGGCAGGACAAAATGTCAGTGGGAATTGGAGGGAATATAACATTTACTGAGTACCTACTTAGTACCAGCCATTCACATGTATTATTTCTTATAATTCTCAAAATTGCTTTGCTTGGTGAGGTGGATGTTATTGCTTCTATTAGACAGATTACTAACTTCCCTACTGGCTAGAGAAGTTGTATCTCCAGACACCCAAAGAGCCCATTTTTATAGGGTCATTCCGCCCCTCCTAGCAGCACTTCTTGGGAAGTAAGACAAAGGTACCCTCTACTTTTGGAGTCCATGGATTTCTCTCTTCTCCTCATCTCCTTTCCCTAGTCCAGGAAAATCTCTTCAGTCTGCAAGGGTAGCTTCACTCTTCTCACTATTTCTGGCACTATGCCACGGATTCCCCCTTTGGAATTCAAAAGCCAGAAAGGCTTGTCCATTGTCTTTTCCATCCTGCCATGTGCTAGCCCTGAGTCCATAAGCACACAACCAGCTCCCTGCTTGAATGCAGAGGAAGAAGATGGAAAAATACAGTGAGAAAGAAAACAGATTGGTCTCCAAAATACTATCCCTGCCATGTATGTGCTCTGAGCAGTGGAGACCTGATGCTAATCTTAGAAGTAGAGTGACCCAAAAACAAAGAGAGGAAGATAAAATTTTGCACCCCTTCCCCAGGATATTTTAGAAATTAGAAAAACTAGACAAATTTAGATACAAGTGTCATCTTAAAAAAGAAATAAAATACTTGAAAAATTTATTTACATGGGCTTTACTCCTCCAAAGTAACTTCCAAAATCTCTGAAATAGAAATATTTTATGTGAAACTGTCTCTATTTACATATAAAAATAACCATAATGAAAATAACACTGACATTTATAGTGCTTTCTCATAATATAATGTTTTACAGCTTCTTATATGTACAATTTCACATAACCCTCCAAACAACCCCAGTAGGTAGATATTTCTAATTTATAGTGGAGGAGGCTGAGTCTCGTAGAGGTTATGTGAACTGCTCAAATTCATAGAGCTAATGTGGACTAAACTGAGTTCTCTGATTCCAAATCCTACCCCCTTTCCAGGATCCTATGCTGACTCCAAGCTGTTTTCACTGAGGCCAAGAAGCACAATACAATTCTAAGATGCAAAAAGTAAGTTGAATTTTTGCCTTGAGAAAATACTACCATATTTATCAGAAAAAGAAAACAGTCCTAAGCACCTTCTTTGCTTGTTGGCTTCCTCTCACAGACTTGAGCATTTCAGTGTCTATTTGGAAGACAATGTGCTGGAGCAGATACAAAAGGTGACCGACTCAGGGCCTCTGCTGCAAGACAACTACAGCAAAGCCAAGAAGATAGATGTTGAGACAATTAGCTCTCAGAGTCTCATGTGCTGCATTACTGGTACAGACTAACTGCTGTGGGATAGCAGACAAGGGTGCAGTTAGCTTCACCTTCTATGGTGTTAGAAGAGGGATAAGCATTGAGAAAAGCTTCACATCGTACATGACTTTGAATCTAGCATTGACAGAAGGGTAGGATTTTGCTATGAAGAGCAGGCCAGGCATAGGAACAGCTTGAGCAAAGCAAGGAAGAGTCAAGGTGAGTGTGTCCTCAGAAATCCAGCATGGGTGGATGTCAGGGGACAGGTAAGGGAGTAGCAGGAGGTCAGACTGGTCAGATCACTAGTTGACAGTCTGTGATGCTAACATGTCTGGGCTTTATCCCTTAAAAGCTAGATACAAGTCCAGGTCCTATTTATCTTTGTATGACTAGCACCCAGCATAATATTGTAAAACATAGCTAGCTCCTCCTTCATGTATATTTGTTGGATTTTATCCTGTGTTTAAACAAGCGAGGGCATGTCAGGATCAGATGTGAGCTTTAGGAGGCTTATTCTGGCTATGGTGAAGGTGAAAGGTACTGGTGAGGACAAACTGGCAGGAGGTGACTGCAGAGAGGTGGGAGGCTTTGAAATGTGAGAAAGAAAATAATACACAATTGAGAAACACTATTGGAGCTCTCAGGAGGGCTTGGTGGGGTGTTTAAATGGAGGAGAGGGTGTAAACAAGGACCTTGAAGTTTGAATCGCAGTAATGCTATTGCCCAAGATGGGCAACCCAGGAACAGACTTTTGATGCTGATGTTGGTGAATGTATTCCAATCCTCCTGAACATGCCTTGAAGAACTTGAGATAAGTCATCATTGATGAACAGCTATGCATTCACAAGAAAATCAGGAGGAAAAAGAAACATCATCAGTGCCCTGCCTGGCCACAAGGCTCTAAACAGGCAATTAAGAGCTCATCTAATATGGTGTCTTAGAAGTTGGAGACTGGTTCTTTATGATACTACTACCTGGAAACCCTCACATGCATGAGACAGTTTGTTCTGCTATAGGTTGATAATTAAGTCCTTAAATAACCACCCATTATCAAAAGCAGCATTATAAAAAGAATCAGAAAACTAGAGTTAGGAATATTTAAAGTAATGCTAATGTTTTCTCCTCATACCCCTAACCCATATTCCTCAAAGAAAATCTATAATATCAATAATTAAATATGAAATATACTAGACCCATATGTAGAATATTATATAGTTTACAAATATTTGAAAATTGAGTATAGGAAAAGATCTACCATGATCCTAGATAGGAAAATCAATTATTCTTCCTAAACAAATTTATGGGCATAATGAAATTCTGGTTAAAAAAAGAACCCAGCAGATATTTTTAAAACTTTGCAAAATCATTCTAATATTCATCTGAAGAAGCCAGGAAAATTCTGAAAAGTTGGAATAATTAAAGACATTTATTTGCTCTACCACTCATGAAAATATATCATAAAATTTATAATGATTAAAATTTCCCAGCTCAGGAATTAGTAAGGAGATCTATTAAACAGAAAAGATTTTTTTTAAAATTCATACATAAGAATGTATTACATGAAAAAGAATTTAGTATATGAAAAAACTGAAGTATTTTTTAATATATGATTTGTGGCTATTTGGAAAAAAAGCTTCAAGTCAGATCCTCACCTACTATCTAATTTTGCATAAGAAATCAAAAGAGTAAAATATAGTTTAGTTTCATTATATTTTTAAAAATATTTTAATCACAATTTAATATTTTTAAACAAATGATATTATCTTCTTAACTTTTGTGGTAAAATGAAGCAGCAGAAAAGTTATTTTAGCCAACTTCGAGAAAACACCATCAGATGATATGAGTTCACACGAAAATTGCTACAAACTACATGATGAGACTAACCTCAAACATATGGAAGCATTTCTACACTTATTCTGAAGAGGAAAAATCTAATTTTCAAATAATGTCAAACAAAATATGCATTTCCAAACACTACCAAGATGACCAACACACCCTTGTATTTTGAGAAGTGTAAAAAATCTCATCCAAAATGGGGCAAATATTCTGTCTTCAGAAGTCTTTGAAGAATATTGAAAAAAAAATAATAACCAGAAAAAGAAAAACCAACCA